GACCTGTTGCCAGCCGTGACACTATTTGCATAGTACTAATGCCAATGAACCCAACGGTCCAACTACAGTGCAAAACGGTCTACTGCTCATCGAGTTCTAGTGCTCTGAAGACCGAATTTCAACTATTCTTCAAACCAGTTGTATCTGTTTGAAACGAGCCAAACTGATCCCACCAAGAAGACCCACCGACTCAACAGCATGCATTTGATCACTCTGTTATAGTCAGACCAAAAACGAGCAAACCGCTTCAACTTACACCCGTTTCCAACGACTGCAGTCAGTGTTGTAATCGCAGTTGTGAACACGCTGCAAACTACCCCCACAAGACAGCTATTTCCACCTGCGTCCAAATCCGGCTCAGAACTGCAGAACTTCTGACTGCAGTACTCATCAAAATCCTTACTACAGCCTTGTGCACACCCATATCCTCACCACACTGCAAATCCCTGCATAAACCACCGGTACTTCTCCACGTAATCATTTCCTTACCCAAACCTCACGCAAACCTCACGCAAACCACACCGTTATCGCCCAATCTGAGTAGATCACCACTCCCAAACTGACACCCTAGAGCAGCCCCTTCTATCTTCTCAACTACATTTTCTTTACGACAATTACATATTCCTCTGACATCCACTTAACTCTGCAACTTTTCCTCTTCCATTGACGCATTTCTCAACCTCAAGCTCCATTCGGTTCACGAGTTGTCTGAACTCCTTCTCCGCAACTACAAAACGCTCTCTGTTTCAAACAACGTCTTGCCTGAACCTTCTTCAACCCATACACACCCGAGCACTTTCGGCCTCAACGAGTATCCTGCATGTCCGCTACTGTCTCTCAAATTGCTGCTCTTCATGCTTCTTGAAACGAGCTCTTGTGAAAGAAGCCAACTTTAACACATCTTTGATACAATCTGCAAACAGTTCTCTAATCACAAGATGCGAATTCGCAATTGCGTACGACTTCTAACCGATCTTCAAGAGACCCACTAGAATTTGATCTCACATGATACCACAGCAGAATGAAGCCTCACTATTCTCTGATCCATCATTACGTATTGCTACTTGACCAAAGCACAACCCATAGAACTTCCTGCAATCGATAGTTGCAGACATGGACTAGACGGAACCTCGTTCTAGTTTTTAGTCCTTTGTTGACTGTCCATGTTCTAGATTACTAGATGCCGAATGTTCACAGACCTGTTTCCTTATCTTCCGATGTCTGGTGTTTCTTTTCTTGCACCAAGACCTTATCTCAACATGTACGGCATTTCTTTATTTAGATCCCAATCAGCTTCTGCATATCAACCCAACAAACACTTGCGCAATCCTTGTCCTCACCATTTAACCTCCACTTGAACCACTTAGCGCATGATGTCGGCTGCGATGACAGCATACCTCGACTGATGACAGCATCTCTTACCTGATTAACACACGCCTTAAGTATCTTCCACAAATGTTTTGAAAATGATTTAGTTCCGGCAACCACCACGGCATTCCCTACGTTCTAGTCTCCTTCATGTTCCAAATGTCATGACGAACTCACACACAAAACGGACAGCTTTCTTTGCTCTTGTGTCAACTGTTCAGAACATATTGAATATTCCAACGGTTTCAAGAGACCCAGCCCTCTCTCCCACTCAATCTCTTACAGATGCCAATTGTTTTGAACTACTTCTCACCAACAACTATGTTTCTATACACATCTATACGGTCATGTTTTAGTTCCGGCAAGCCCTTCACTCCCCGTGTATCAACAGCTTTCCGCCCGGTCCCGTGAGCAGACACAAGTTATAATAGAGCGAAAACATCGGACATCTGAACGGATCCGCATACATCTCGGGAACAGTGATTTCATACGTATAGACTTTCTGCCACGTCAAAAAGAGTGCTAACTGCGCACAGTCAAAGAACCCACATCGGCCCCTCTCGTGTTTGCTGAAGCAATACTCGCAAACACTGATCCTAGCTGCTCTAATCATGCGAAAGAAAAAGTCCTTTGGGTAAGTTTCCAGCACTTGTTTTCCACAAAGCGTTGAAACAACTCCAGAAAATGTCCTTTGCGCCAACGCATCTTTCATCTCCTGCAGCCTGTTCATCCACCGCTCGTTTTCATCGAAATTAGTCCGTTTGACGAAAACAGAAGAGAGCTTTTCACTTATCATTTCGAACAGATTGAACTCCCGCATCGCTTTCTCTATCAGCATGTCAGCCGGCCGCACACCGTGTCCCAGAGCCCTTATTTCGTTCGGAGCCAACACCCCCGTTATGTTGAGAACAAAGATTGCCTGAAACCTCAAGAAAGTATTGTCTTGACAGCCTCTGCATTCTCTCAGAGTTACAAGACACCGCGGGCAAATAATGCCTTTGGTAAGCCCCAACAATGTATGCTCTCAGACCGTCGAGACACTCCTCGTACGTAACGATTTCACACAATCCCCTACTAAAAGTCAGTACTTCCCGGATCGACGATTTTGACTTTCGTCAATCCGGTCATGCCATACAAAAAAAATCGTCAATCCGGGCAGCGTGCTCGGACTGAAATCGACATTTTGCGTCAATCCGGGAATTGCATACAAAACCCAATCGTCAATCCGCGCATTTTACATAGTAATCTGAGATTTCCATATATATATGGGATATGTATGCCACTCGTCATATAGCTCATTAACAGTGCTGAGATCACCAAGTGCCTCGGATACATCTTTGGCGTTCGGGGTGGTCACGCATCTTTTTGATTTGTCCACAATCAGGCCGTCTACAACTTCATACCTTTGAAACCGGTTTTCTTCCTCGACCATCTTCTATAAGATACGGTAGTAACGGACAAAAATTAAAACAACTTTGAGAAAGATAATAGATATCTGGCAAGCAACTTTTGATGAGCAAGATGAAGAGCAAATCATGTCAAACAAGTAGAAGAACTTGTTTTTGTGTACCTTCAGAGACTAGGAGCAATTTGGTGCCTCCTGCTCGTCTGAAAACAAACACGAAAGTGTTACCACAAGATGCTTTTGTGCAAAATCGAAACATCAATGATTTGCAGAAAGTCCCATGAAAACAATCTGTGGTTCCTGGGCTAGACAGTGAACCGGTTCAAGAGATAGCACGTTCTGCCTTATCACAGGAATGCAGCACAAGCACCGATATCATACTGTTTTCATCTCCATTGCCTTCTGCGGGCCCGGTGCCTGATCACACCGCGTCTTGAATGTAAACATTGAGAACGCGTCAGGGGCCAGCTCATCACTCGATTGTCAACCTGCCCAAAAAAGGGGTGAACCATGATTCCGCCCGGTTGGCCCAGCAGACCCCACTCAAAATATATCCCCAGCTTTTACCCTTTCAAGCCCTTTCAGTGCAAAACATTGTTTCCAAAGGAAAGTCTTCCAATTACAATGCTACTCTAACTTACATTCAGCAATAAAATCCAGCACTTGGCTTCTAGAAGGGTCCTCTACTGTAGAAACTGACAAGTAACCATGAAGTTGTATTATGTAAATAGGAATTTTTCCCAGGTCCATACAGTGAAACCTCCCTGTCTGGCCTCAGACAGCTGTAACTCCAGGTGATCCTACGATGACCCGGAGGGGTATAAAAGACTGCTTTTATTCTTAAGAAGCACGGAACTTATGACCACCCTTATGTGGCATAGTTCAAAAAAGTATATATAGGAGAGTTTAACATATAAATTAAGAAGGTACCTGATCTAGGTAAGAAACATCATAATATATTCGCTCTTTGACTTACGGACTTGAAAATTGTCGCAAATCCAACCTGTAGCCATACTTTTGCAGTTCTTAGAATGTGTCCATGTCTAAATTGGGTTGCAGGACATACAGAAGTGGTGTGATATGTATTAAATTACTTCCAGCGCGGGAATAAGATTTCCAATGTCGGAATGGTTTTACCGAAAGGCTCTTAGAATCAATGGTACCATCTGTCTAGTGCGTCTACATATCACGATGCCGCAGCAGCGCGGTAATCGAGGGCCAAAAGCTTCACCACGGTCGTTAAAATAAGAAATTGCATCAGTTTTCCTGATTAGAGCAGCGCTTCGTATCTTCACATAAGCTGGGTATACTGTACCATCACAGAGATTGAACCGTTTGTTTTGTGTTCTAGTTCACAATTTCTTCACTATAGTCACTAGTAAGCTGTATTCAACACTATCTTCATAAAGCAGCTTTAACATCTAAAAGGTGATGCAAGATGACGACATCCAGTGAGCAGGGAAATCATAATTCATATTTTTTAATCGTGCTATTTATTGCACTAAGCATCCTTGCAGTTTTTAAACTTCATAATCCTCCGATTCTCTTCCAAACCAGCAACGCACAGCTTTTCGTGAGTATTAGCATGATTTGGGCAATTATCTTTTTGTTGTTATGCTGGTCATCCACAGATACATTCTATAGCCGTTCGGTAATTTTAGTTGTGATTTTAATTTTGCACACACTTGCAGTATTGTGTCTCGCGCATTCAGAAAATTGAGTATAAATGTTAAAATATATTTGGTCCTACAGGATTTAGCAATGAATTTGATTTTTCAAGTTTCAATTTTGAATTTCTGGCAAAACAAATGGCATGATTTTTGAAACTTGAGCCTGTGTTTAATAATGTTCAATTCTCAGACATGCTATGTCTTTTTAATCATGTGTTTACTGTCAAACTATTTCTTACTGATTTTGCTGTTTTGAATTTTCTATTGTTTAAATAGATTTATTTCAAGATGCATTTGGGCTTATTTTCAAGATAAATTCCAATTCACCCAGTATTTCACTGCGTAGTACTGTTTTCCTGACTGGATCATTCCATTATTCTTGGCAAAATGATCACGCAAGAAATTTTTTTGACTAAGTTTAAAAAGTTGTACAATTTATTTAAAGAAAGATATACCTCTTTCGCCCATTAATCAGAAATTTTGAAATCCTTCGAGTTTTTTTTTCTTTGATGAGTTTTAAAAATTAAAGTGTTTATTTGCATGAGAAAATCGAGAATATGGGCTTAAATACTTCGGCAAAAATAATCGCTTTTACAGTCTATGCCTGGCTGATGAAAGGAGCACTTGCAGCATTTTCGTTTAGAAACATATTTAGACAAGACCGTGCAGTCGTGTTAATTGGAGCTTCGGCAGTTTGGGGTGCAGTTGCTGCCGGGGTTTGTGCAACATTAGGTCCAACATGTTGGATTTCTCTTGCAATGGTTGCTGCCTTCCAGGCTGCCGGTTTAGCGGCCATGGCAAATGATGCGGGATCAGTTGCAGAGAATACTAAAAGAAGTGCTTCCATGCTACCAATTACAGAAACTATGCAAAATATTACCGATGCGTACGAAAATCATAATATTATGGCTAACCCCATCATAAGAAATTTAACTTTATTGCTAGGTACTGTTGGTGAAGTATCCTCTGGCACCCAGCTAGTTAAAAGAAGTGATTATGATCTTGCTGCTAATATTACTGTTGCCAAATTTGACTCAGAATTTGGTCACCATTTAGCGATTGCACTACCTCATTTGACTAGCGATGAATTTGTTGCCAGATTAAATTCTGCAACTCCGGGTGAACCTGATGTTTCTCCTAGGCGTCGTTTTTTCAAGAGAGGTTATGAAGTTGATTGGGTATCCTACAATTACGACAATGTCAACGAAGGCCTTGCAAGCCAGTTCATAAATACGCAGGGTGCAAGTGATACTGAGGTATGGTCATATGGTGCCGAAAGTTTTATTTCAGAGCATGATGGTTGGAAATGGTGCTTAGATTTGAATATTGATTCGTCACCGGAGGAGCCAATCGACTCTAATCATTTAGAAAATATCAACGTAGCGGTTCATGGTGAAATTTATACGAACACCTACGGTGGTATTGATGGCCAATGTAATGATTATTATGATTGTGTTGAAGGTTGCGACTAATTTTCAGAAAATATTCTATGTACTTTACCTTCAATTCTGAAACAATTTTATACAAGATCTTAAATATATACTGCTCAAGCATGTAAATGTCATACAAATTTATTACATGTAAGTGTATTTTCCAAATGCTGAAACCTAAATATTCTAGTACAAATTTCCATATATATGTGGAAATTTTAGAATACTATGTAAAATGCGCGGATTGACGAAAGTCAAAATCGTCACTCCGGGAAGTACTGACTTTTAGTAGGGGATTGTGTGAAATCGTTCGGTCTGAGGCCAGACAGAGGGGTTTCTGCGTTCGGAGAGTTGTTGAAATCTCTGTGAGCTTACGTGATGGTTTGTTACGGTTACTAGAGAAGTCGTGGGATATTTAGAGCAGCCAAACCTTTCAACACTACGAGCTGCATGTTCTTTCCATTCTTGGACTGTGAAGCGGCAGATCGTATATGGTTGGAAGTAAAGGTGAGCACATGGTGTTGAGATAAGATGCCGAAGCCAATCATGATCGAGGGACAAGAGATAAGAATCTTATCATGATAAGTTATCTTAGTGTTGAGATAAGATGCCGAGGCCAATAAGGATTGAGTGATAAGAGATAAGAGTCTTATCATGATAAGGCATCTTGAGTAATCTAAAACTGGAAAGTTAGCCGCCATGATAAATGAATAATGGCAAGTTTAACCGAAGGTGTAAGTGTAAAAATACAAGAGGTTTGTCCCTTGTATTTATGACTGAGAGTAATAGTCTGTATGTTAGTTATATTAGTTAAATATATAAATAAGGAATAAACATAAGAAAAAGTGAACTTATACAATGGATATTCATAATAGAATAGCTAGACTACAACTGTTGAGATAAGATGCCGAAGTCAATATCAGTAAATTAGAGAAAGAGGCTTATTAAAGACAAGGCATTAGAAAAGAGCCTTGTAATGACAAGGCATCAAGTAATCTAAAACTGGAAAGATTAGCCGACGTCATGAGTGTAAAAATAGGAGAGGTTTTGTCTCCTATCTGTGTTTAGAATCATTAGTTATTAAGAGTTGTATAAGTTGTTTTTAAATAATTAACAAACATAAGAAAAAAGTGTACATATACAATGGATATTCATAATAGAATAGCTAGATTACAACACAGTGCTCTTCATCTGATCAAGAATGGATTCAATAACATTGAAATTTACGACCGTACTGACTACGAAAAAGAAAAGTACTCACCATTACTTGCTACTAATATGGGAATTCTCGCTCCAGTATGGCAAAAGGGGTCTTTTGTGAAAAACGTTTGTTAGCGAAACACCCTCTCGTGAAAAATGCCGAAATCAAGAGGCGCCTCTCGTGAGAGCGCTGCTCGAAAACGACCCTTTTGTGATTAGTATGGGGAAAAAATCGGGCCGGCGAGCTTGCCGGAGGGGGAATTTTCGACGTTTTTTCCGTTTCTTGTTTTCTGACGGTATGTGGTCGGTGTTCTTGCTGGACTGGAGCTAAGAAGAATAGTAGTCCATTAAAGCAGCACACACTACAATGGACAGTCTACAGTACAAGTGAATATTGCGATTATCATGGGAGTGTCTTTGACACCGTTAATGATGTGGCCACAAGGTTGTTGTCCTGTGTGGATCAAGAGGCTCATTTGAAGACAGCTAGAAGACAACACTGCCTTGAGCATTGGGAGACGTACAATAGAAACAGCAGTGACAGTAATGTGGCAGCCAGGTGGCTGTCTAGTTGTT